GTTGTGTACAGAAGAACCCAATTGGCTGGCTGATGTTTGATGTTGTCCTTTTTGTTTCTGTCTCAATGGCGTGCTTCCAGCACTAGTCACAGAAGGGACAGAAGGAAGAGGCTGTTGGGATGTGGATCCCGGGCTCCAGGGTGTGGTAACGGACTTGGCGGTCTCTGATGCAGGGGAGAAGGTATTGTTAATTGTTAACCAATTTGTTAGTAACCAGCACCCATTGCTTTGTATATATAGTAGCTTCAGCTATCAGGCAGTGAGTGGATTGAAAATACTTTTTCTGAATTGTTTCTGATTCATTTCAATATCTATATTGGAGCTTTCTAACCTATTCTTTAAATGTTCGTGTTCTTTCTATACCATGTAGGTGTAAAAAGAAAAAAAACTGAAAAGTTATTAAAAAACCTAAAAGCTTGAAAACCCTCACGTGTATATGTGTGTCTGCGCTGACTTCCAGGCTTACTTTCTGCACTGCAAACCTTTGCTTTCCCTCAATACTTTTGGCAACTCTGGCTGAGAGGTGGCCCTGGACATTGGGATGCTGCACCACCAGATGGCGCCTTTGGAGCTGAACTAATTTCCACTTTGGGATGGTCTTGCTTCTGTCCTCTACCAAGACCCTCCACTCTTCTTCACCCATCTTCCAACTGACTTTTGCAGACTTTGAATTCACATAGCCTGTGGCAAAGAGTTCCCAAATGCCGCTGTCTCTCTTGATTCCTGATATATGTAGGCAGCAACTCTCTGTAGAAATTACATGCATACAGCTTTCTATTAGCTTCAAGTGTGTGATTTCATAAGCAGGGGAGGATGGTGATTCTGGGAGGTGTTGAGTCGGTTCGAGAGTTTTCGCTCTATCTAGCACTGATTTAACTGCATTACCAAGTACTGATATGAATCAGTGTGAGAGTATGTCACATGTGTTTAATAGATTCGACATCTTACTGTTACATGGTTACCAGATAGGAGATATATGACAGAACCAAGTCTGGGTTTCAGAATTTCACAGAAATGTCAGCTCAGATTTAGCATTCATCTGCAAAGTTCAGAAGCCCAAGTGAGTGCATGAGTGCAGAATTGTGCTTTGCTTATTCTGATTGTAAACTTTTAAACTTATGTGTCTCATGATGCTCCTACTTCTCCATGTGATCTTCAGTAGGAAGACTACAGTGTGTAGCTTTCAGCTGCTCCTAGGAGTTTAGGGAGGAAAAGAGAGTTTTCCAGTAGGAGATTAATTCTGCATAGAAAGTGGGTTGGCTCCTACCCATGACTCAGGAGGGTAAGTGAGATGGTGGGCCCCGGTTTCTTTCTATTAACCTCTGGGAAAGCTGCCAGTTGATGGGGACTTTTGAAATAAACTGAAATATAGGAAAGGGTCACATGGCTAAAACGCTAAGCAATCGTATAATGGATTTCTTAGCATTAGCATCCCTCATAAGATAAGGTTAAAACAAATTTCTGAAAGAATTGAAAACAGTAACCCAAGGATAGAAATTCTCCTGCTTAATGATCAACTGTAGTTATGCAGTGAAACCACCAGGTGGCAGATGAACTCCATTAAATAGATGATACACACTTTCCTGTCTCATCCCAAACCCAGTGGTTCTAGCTGTAAGTAACCAACTTAATCCAGTTTAGCATATTTATTTTTAGATGTCCACTTATTCATAGAGTATAAAATTATAAATATTACTTTTTTACCACAAAAGTAGTGAATAGACAAAGATGGGCCCATAAGAAAAGCAAGAACTTAATCACCAAACTGGAATGCTTAGTTTGGGTGTCCTCCATACAGTTGGGTGGAGTTCTGAAGTACTGACATGTCATCTCCATCTTCAGCCTTTGTCCTTTTTCTGTTAGAGGGACTTCTTAGCAGCAAAATCCTTAACTGGCAGTATGAAGGAAAAGGAGACTAGGTTAGCCCATCACCTGCTTAAGCTAAGTGACTCATTTAGCAACATGAAAGCCACTCGACATCACCATGACTGACTTTCTTTAGGACTTAAAACTGCATGTGCTCAGACAAACGCCAAAATCCTACAGGAAACTGTAGGCTCTCACAGGATAGGGAAACGGGTGATTTTTCCATTTCATAAAATGTGGAGTTGGTAGTGTTGATTGCTCTGTACTTACTGAAGAGGGTGTGGGGAAAGATGACTTGTAGTTGTTTATTTGTTGGGTGTCCCTTACATACTAAGCACCATTTTTAGGTTTGCAGATGTAATATTGAATACAGAGTCTTGCTATTCATTGATTTACCAATGAGAGAACACAGACAATAAGTAAACAAATACTTAATGCAATTAACCAGAAGCTCTTAATGTCTGCATTTTCCCTATGTTTAGTGGAGTGAAAGAGACAAAGTCTGAGGCACAGGGCCCCATCCCCAAGGAGAAGATGGCCAGCCTCTTGTGGCTTCATTCATGGGTTTTGAGTGGGGCTGGTGATTAATTGAGGTAGGATCTGGAGGACCCTTAATATTTCCCTGGGGCCATCTCTCTGTAATTTGGACATCATGATTCTCCAACATTGAAATTGGGAGCTTGAGACCCTGTGATGTTCTGTGGCTTTCAGAGAGCCATGTGTAGCAGCCTATCCCTGGACATGAGTCAAGGGTTTGCCGAGTTTCTTCACTACCATCTAAGGCATAATTGGGTAAAAGTTGTCACACACCTCTAACTCTGAGTTTGAATGAGTAAGACTTGCAGTGTCAAGGGGCTGTTTAATTCTCCAGACATTTCTTCCTAGAAGAGACAGTCATTGTAGCTGAGGTAATGGAGTTTCAAGAGGGAAGCTCATATATTAGGAAAATATGATAGCTTTCGAAATTCGAGTGGCTGTTCATTTTCTCATGTCTTTATGTATTTTAGGTGGAATATAGAAGTTTCCCAGGTTCTTCACAGTCAGAGGTGAGCTATATATGCTTTAAATGTAAACAATCATTTCTCAATTTGTAGCTAAGGAAGCTTTGCAAGAACTTGACACATACAATCCTTTTCTCCCCCCAGATTATACAAGCAATACAGAATTTAACCCGTCTCCTGTATAGCCTTCAGGTAATGGCTCTCCTGTAATCTCGACCTTGTGAATGTTCCTTTTAATGTGCTCTGATGATCCCCAGACCTTAGACATTAGAACATTTCAAAGGTGGTAAGTGATCTTCGAAGAATATGCCAAACCCTGAGGTGTACCTCCACCAGACGAAAGCTGAGTTCACCTGGTTTTGCAATCACGAGGCAGCACATCCCCACCATATTTTACCCCATTTTCTCAGAAACCGTAAAACGGTTCCTGTCTCTCAAAGATATCGATGAATCTGCCTGGGTCCGACACAGTGAAATGCTTAGGTGCATGCAGCATGACTTCACATTTTCTGGTGAAAGCTTAAATTCTCACCTGAATTCATGTCACTCTCACATGTGGCCTTAGGCCTTTGTGAAGAGCAGCTAAATAATTTGCATGCTCCTTCATGCTTTGGTTTTCTTTTCACTCAATACTCATTGGGTGTCCTTTCTGCACTGGGCACTGTGTGAAAGAATAAGCTCACAAAACCAAAGGGGCCACCAAGCCTCCTGCTTATGGCTTGTTATCTTTTAAGGAAGGAATAAAAACCACCCTTGTGTTGTGGATTAGTAGACCATAGAATCCATCCCTCAGGTTGATGCTGTTCACTAAAGAGGCCATCAGTGTACCCAAAAGTGCTTTGTGTGATGATTAGAAAATTTTAATGCTGTCAAGGCAATAGTTATAGTGTAGCAATTTTTGAGAATAAGAATCAAATAAAATGTCTTGTGGTTCTAAAGAGAGAATTGCTGTTACCATGCTAATTAAAAAAACCAAAAACTAATAAGATATAAGTTCCCATGTTGTATATATCCCTGCAGAATTTAGATTGTTTCATGTTATTCATTGGCAACACACATCTTTCCATGGCAGCATTATTCTACAGCATGATTGTTAATGTATGTATAGTATTTGGGTCTATAGAATTTATTCAGTTCAGTAATTTATATTTGTGTTATTAATAGCATAAAATGTCGACATCCTTATGTTCTAATATCTTTAACCATATTTGAATGTCTCCATAGTCTAAGTTACTATAGATAACTTCTTGCAATTTTATTAAACTGCCAAAATTAATCAATTGTATCTTTTCTCTTTCTCTCTCTTTCTCTTTTTCTTGCCCCTCCTCAATTTAAAAATGGACCAAGATATCAGATTACTTTAATTTGTGCTTCTTATTATTAAGACCAAACATGTTCCCTCAATTTTCCATTTGTCTTTCATAGTTCATATATTATATCATAGAACTGTTAAAGGAAAACTGATCTAAACTTGGAGCAGAAAACATAAAGCCATGGCTGCATTAGATGCTTTTTATTATTATTACTTATGTTTCAACAATAACAAACTTCTTTCTCTTGACCAGTGTTGATCTCATGCCCATTCTTGTTTTAATACCAGTGTCATTATTTTGGTTATTAAAGCTTTGGATTACACTTGAGTATATGGAGACACTAGTTTCCTCTTAGTATTTTTCTATATAATGTGCACGTTTTACAAAGTTTCTAGATCACTTTGTCCAGTTTCCTGCCTTCTACCAAGACTATTAGATTAAAATTACACTGTATTCATTAATTAAATGCCACAATCAGTTCCCTTGTAAGAAAAGGCTCAGCCACCTCTTATTTTAGGTTGTGCAGGAAGCTTTATAATTCTTGTCATACAGGTACTATATAAATTTTAAAACATATGTTTATGCTTCTCCAATTATGGTTGTTGATCAAAAATATACTGGTTTTTTGTACTTGTTTTATTATCAGCCAACTCATTTAACTTTAGGTTTTGTTTTAATAAATTTTCCATGGATTCTCTGGAATGTTTCTGGTAGGAAATTTGAAAAAAAAGAAGAATGCTATGACTATTCTTCAATAATTATATCAATTGTATTTTCTTGGCTTATTGCTTTGGATGGATATAGAGGTATCTAACTTTTTGACATGGTGACATAGCATTGTCATCTACGAATCTGTTGGGCTGCATTCATAACTATCCTGGGACACATGGCACACAGAGCACAGGTTGGCTCTGCCTCTATCTGAAAACATGCTAACAAACAGTGGTAACAGTAGCTTCTTTTCTTATTCATACAATGTGGGATGCCTTTACTGTCTATGTACAGTAGGTATGACATAGATTATCTGGGAGGTCCATTTATCTTGGGAAACAACTAGGGTTTCTCTTAGATGTCAACTGGAAAGCTTTGTGCTGGAGAAAGGACATTAAATTCTCAAGGGCAGGAGACATTGGGCTTCCTGACTTGGGCTGCCTGATGAAAATATATATGTAGAGTCATTTTGTTGTTGTTCTCCACCCCTGAATTCAGCCCTATATGTGTCTTTGGTTCAGATAAGATCAGCAGCCCATTGGCCTCAGTTTAGCAATATGTTAAGTTAGCTGTTCTCAACCTTTGGGTCATGACCCCTTGGTGGGATAGTTGGATGACCCCACAGAGGTCTCCTGAGACCATCAGAAAACACAGATATTTACATTATGATTCATAACAGTGGCAAAATTACATCTATGAAATAGCAACAAAAATAATTTTATGGTTGGGGTCACTACAACATGAGGAACTGTATTAAAGTGTCGCAGCATTAGGAAGGTTGAGTTGACTCCAAATGGGAAATATCAAGCCTCCAGTAGATTCCCTCCATCAAACTGAAGCTTTTGAGCTGGTCTTAGGATTTGAGGTGTGAAGCATTTCTGTTTTGTGGCATAGTTCTCTCCTTAGAAGCTGAACTCTAACCCATTTCTGAAACATGAAAATGACAATTGGTCCCTATAGTAGAGTTGGAGAAGTATTTACAGGCAGGAAAATGAAAGGACACAGATAATTCTACCCTAGGAAGTGAAATGAGAGTGAATTAAGAATTCCTAAACATAAATATAACTTTAAATATGGAAATCAATATCCAGTCTTCAAGTATATGTTTGTGAGAGGGAAGAGAATCACCATATCCCAATCTCATTTAGACAAGATAAATTCTTTAGGACTATACCAAGTTACCTAATTGTAGTCCTTACACAAGAGCTCATACCTATTAGTTTTGATATGCAAAATATTGGGGTTTGCTTGCTTTATAGTACCAATACCCTCGGGTCTCTTGGTGTTAAGTGGCAGTAGCTGGCTACAGTGTGCATTCAGGCCAGCAGAGTGCCAGTGGTTTACCAACACTAATTAGCCCGTTTAAAGACCACAATGGTTAGTGCCTATTCTCCATGATGACCATTCTTCTTATAAGAGCTCTCTAAAGTCAGTTATCAAGAGTGACCATGAATTTTTTCAACTAATTTTTGAATCTAAAAATGCAAATTTCAGAAGGCTCCAGTGAATACATATTTGAGTCTTATTCCAAAGCAAGTGTGAATTTAAAATATCCAAGCTCATTAACTTTCACAAGTAGAGGAAAGTGCTGATCTCACACACACAAAATATGATGGTCAAAATTCCTTCTTCTGGGGTGTGTATCACACGGACAATTTAAAAATGTCTTAGGAAGGAAAAATTCAAATTTATCCTTAGGATGGTAATGGCTTCTCACTCAGAGTCAAGCTATACATACATGCCCAGTGTGTATCTCTTTGCAATTTGTTCTTTCTCCACTTCTTTACTGTTTAAATGGGAACTTTTACAATGAAAAGTCTTCAAGGGCATTCACAGTAGGTTTTTGTTGTTGTTATTTTGGTTTAGTGACCTCTTTCCAGGTCCTGGTTATTATTTCCTGTGATGTTGCCCAGCTTTTCATAGGCAGATACTAGAGTTCAAAAAACTGTTTTATTTTGTTTTTTTAAATGTTTGGTCATGTCTGCTGCGATTTAGAGTATCTATTTTCCCTAAACCATTGCAGCCTCCTCTTATCAATCTAGTAAACAATGACTTTAAGCTTAGATTTTTTTGTTTTCTGTATAACCAACTTGGCTCTAATGCAAAAACCTAGCAGTAAGGAGACTACTCTACCCAATTCCATAGCTCCTAAAAAACGGCATTAACTGTGATTCTCTGGTATTATGTTATAAAAAGGCTATTTGCCAAAAGTCTCCAAATAGTTGACTTTTATTTTTATGTCTTCATGAAAGCAATATATAAAGCTCAAATAATTTCTGGTTTGGGACTCAAATAAAGGGCACTACTGTGTTTATGTAGATTCTTAAATTCCCATGAATGATTGACTGGGGACCTCAGAAGGAGAATGAGAATAGAACAGGAATTCAGAGTCTTATGAATTTACACACTAATTTTTACCCAAAGGACTGACTTAAATGCAACTCAACAACCAACAGCCAATCACTTCTCCAAAAGCAGGGATGAGAACAATCAAACCTCTGTAGCCATGAGGTTTCATCCTTGGACTTAACCAACCCTTGGACCGAAAAGATGGAAAAATCAATTCCAGAAAGTTCAGGAAAGCAGAGTGCTTTTAGCCCTTCCCGTGTGGATACAGTGATGTATAGAGGGCATATTAGATATTACAAGCAATCCCAAGGCAACTTAAATATTAGAGTTTGAGTGGCAGGTATGGGTGGGTTATGTCTTATTACTAAGGCCCTTTCAAATGAGGACTTGAGCATCAACAGGTTTGAGCATCCACTGGACTCATCAAACCAAACTCTATTAGATACCAAACGCCAATGATACTGATTGCATGTATTATTTCTTTCCTGTAAAATCCCCAAGTCACACCATGAAGAAATGTAAACAAACCTATCTGAAAGCTCAGAGTGCCTTTGGATCTAACTTGGAAGGGGCAAGATACGACAGGAAAATAATCCATTGAGCACTCTGTGTTTTAGAGATATTTCCTACCAAGAGGTAAACAGCCCATGAGCTATGCTAACTTTATGTCTTTTTGACAAAGTACCCCAAAGAACAAGCTAGAAGAGGAAGAATTGAAATTGGCTCCTTGTTTTAATACATGGTTATTTGGCCCCACTGCTCTGGGGAAGACAGAACTTCATGGTAGCGGTACCAGATAGAGGAGAACTACTCACCTCATGGCATCAGGACACAAAAAAAGAAATATCCCCAGTATCCCCTTCGGGGACACACACACACACACACACACACACACACACACACACACACACACACACACACACACCACACTCCTACCTACATGACCATCCCTTAGACCTGTCTCCTGAAGGTTCTGCCTTCTCTCACTAGTTCCACAGCAGATCACCTGGCCTTTAACCCTTTAACACCCCATGTGTAATTCAAGCCTGTACTTAACTCATTTGGCCTCTTCTGCTTTCCCCTACCCTGCCCCAGGCTGCCTTGACCATCCAGGACAGCCACATCGAGATCCACAAGCTGGTTTTACAGCAGAGGGAGAGCTTGGCCCATAGCCACTCCTTCCGAGGTGGCCCCTTGCAGGACCAGGAGAAATCCCGATACCTGGAGAAGCAGCGTGAGGAGTTGGCTAACATCCACAAGCTTCAGCACCAGTTCCAGCAGGAGCAGCGGCGCTGGCACCGCACGTGCGACCAGCAGCAGCGCGAGCAGGAAGCCCAAGAGAGCTGGCTGCAAGCGCGGGAACGTGAGTGCCAATCACAGGAAGAGCTGCTGATGCGCCACCGTAGTGAACTGGACCACCAACTCCAGGAGTACCAGCAGAGCCTCGAGCGACTGCGGGAGGGCCAGCGGATGGTGGAGAGGGAGAGACAGAGGATGCGTGTCCAGCAGGGTCTGCTGGGCCACTGCAGACACAGTCGCCAGAGGAGCCTCCCTGCTGTCTTCTCTCCAGGGAGCAAGGAGGTATGCCTTATCCCAGCATTGGCGGGGCTTACCCAAATATCTGTGTTCCTGGTTCTTGTAGAAGAGTTCACAAGAGTGTCTCAGTTTGGGGATTGGGAAAAAGAAAAAGCTAACAGTGTTTAGAACCAGTCTGGGGTATCTTGACTTAAAAGATGGAAATTCTAAGATATCCTGGGTCTTTACTGGGGCCTCTGTGCTCTGAGACAACCTTGCCCAAGAAAGGATCGCAGAATGGAGTTGCCCCAATAAAGTAAGGGCGACTTTGACATGGAGGCACAGTCACTGTGAGCATGCTGTCTTCTAGGTATTTGAAGAACCCTCTTTAAATGTCTTGTTATAGATCATTTAGCTCTTCATGTGTAAGCATTGAATGGAACAAATTCTGATGAAGAACGCTTATTTATTCTTTGTGAATCGGATATACTGAATTTAAAATCTCTTTCACTATATAAAGTTATCATGAGCTACACTTGATGAAGGACTGAGTGGATAAACTCATTTAGAAGATTCCTGTTCCCCTTGCATCCTCTCTGACCTTGCTTAACAATTTCATTTGTCTGGGCAGATTTTCTCCACTCTGCATTGCATGCATGTTTTTATTGATAGTGTATAGAGTTATAAAAGTTAATAGGCTTATAAGAAAGAACTATGTTGCATCTGATTTCCCCTTCAAGTTTGCTAAATTACATTTATTGCAAATTCCTGGTGCATTGAAGGGTATGTTTTCAACCTTTTTATGTAGCAAAAGTGGAAACAAGCTAGAAGAGGAAGAATTGAAATTGGCTCCTTGTTTGCTTGCTTTGATTAAAATAAAGTGGAGACTCTCCAATGTTATAGAACTCTGCTGCTTTCTAAAAATAAGATAAATTGTGCATGGAGACTTGGAAGTTCTTGTTCTAGCCCATTTAAAGGGGTTGGGAGGAGAGTAAATGATAGATTTCTTCTAGCTCATTTGAAGGGGTTGGGAGGAGAGTAAATGGTAGATTTCTTCCTAACCTCATTCTCATTGAAATCTTGATTGCTAGCACAAGAGTTTTCAGGCTTGTGGGCTAAATAAATACTTTATGAACTTGTTTAAGTTGCTAAAGAAATTGTATTTTTCTTTGTTTCATTATACAGGTAATGGAACTAAATCGAGCTGAGAGTTTGTGTCATGAAAATTCATTTTACATCAACGAAGCTTTAGTACAGATGTCACTTAACACTTCCAATAAACCAAATCCATCAGGTGTCCCATGGGACACTTACCCCCCTGATGTATCTCATTTTGATTTGGTAAGGACTAGTGGCAATCAAACAGAACTGAAGATAGACGTTTCTCAGCCTCCAGATGTCAGCCATGAACTCTGGACAGCTACGGGGCCCAGCCATCAGATCCCTGCTCTCCAAGAAAACAACAAGGATTCTTGTAAAAATGGTAATTAACTCTTTACTCATTGCCTGTATGATGTCAGTGAGAACTTGGTCCTCTGAGTGACTGGATTCTCAGTAGAATGAACCAAGTGAGCTTAGTATGGGAACGATGGTGGCAATGAGTTGAGTTCTTTTTGGAAAGTCTGGGGACTCTCTACATTCCTAAGCTCCTAGGTAGATGATGCCACGTATCAGAGCTCAGAGTATGCCATGGACAGGACCAATAGGCTTTTAGGCCAGTGGGCTAAATGGTGTCCACTTAGAAGTAGTACAACTTGACATTTATTCTCCACTATAGACCCAGCTACATCTTGATCTGTGTCTCAGTTGACACTCAGAAATAAAAGGTATGGACAGGATTTGTGGTGGGATTTTATTGTCTATCAGAGCAATTTCCTGTAACATTAGTGAAATCTTCTGTTGTACTACTAAACACTCAGAATGAAACTGTTAACATCATTTGTCATTGAAAAAAAAGGTGTCTTCCCATAAGTCCCTGGTAAGGACACAGTTTGCTAACCCCATTAAAGCATTTGCCAAGTATAAAGGTAGGGCAGGTAGGGTTTCCAGCTCCATGTGAATTCAAATGATTGAAATCTCTGTCCATTTTGAGTTGTTTTCTGTGGGATGGTAGGTAGGGAATTAGAAGAACTTGAAACCTCCCTACTGAAAAACAGATGGTATGCAATGGCATAAACAAATGGCTGGCCACATGGATATGAAATAAATCACTGACACTGCAATGTTTCAGAAACATAAAACAATCAGGAGTTAGAGCAATCTTTAGAACTGGACACAGACTTGTTTCCGGCCTTAACATATATTCTTAGTTTGTCAGTTGGGAGAATCGTTTTTCAGCAACAAAAAGTTTTAAAGGCATTTGGTTCCTTCCAATTAGGGAGCAATCATTCTGACGCTGCCTGGGAGTTGATTTATGGCTAACCCAGGGAATGCTGTCTTAGACCTGGCTGATTCTTCACTCCGCTTAGTCACCACTGTAATGTCCTCTGTGAGAGAATGAAATAGTCCATCCAAACATTGTTTTAAATTAAGCTTTAAAAAATTAGTACAGTGGAATACTTTGGATTGAAAAGGAAAAGGTCAAGCAAAACTTAGAAAATGGAACCATTCTCAAACACTACCTTGAAATTCAGTCCTGTGGAGTCCAGGCTATGGAATGCTGATACTGGGCACATGCTGCCTTGCTGAGTTCACTCATCAACTTGCTATGCCTAGTGTTTTATGTGCTCTTGTCAGTGTGGTTTTGCACTGGCTTTGGTATCATTCAAAAACTCCACTTGAGTCAAACCACATTTGGCTTTTGTTTAGAAGTATTGCTCTTTCTCCTTGTGTATCTGCCATCATTTTCTCTCACCTCGGGCCTCAGCGTCTTAAGCTTTGAAACATTTGGCATTATGTTTACAGTAGGCAGAAAAATGTACCAAAGAAATTAAAAAGACACAAAGCTATACTATCTTCATATGAGGTATTAGATAGAGCCAAGAGAAATGCTGAGAAAATTGACTTTTTGCTTAAGAAACCAACCATATGGCCAGTATAGGCCAAGGACACTCAGGACAGTGACAGGAGGGAGGTCGGTCAACTTCAGGATGTCCTCAGAGACATCCTGGGGTACAGAAATAGGGGCCAGGACAGATACGTTCACTGCTGCAAGTAGTCAGAAAGCCCTGTTTATGTTTGTTTACTTTAGCATAAGAAGTGATTTCTGAAGGAGAGAAGAAAGTCAAAGACAAGGAAGTGATAGGATAGTGCAGTGAAAACGGTTCATTTTGTAAAAGGGGTGGCCTTTTTACATACCACATGAAATTATTCAAACCATTCCAAGCTTTCATAGTTCTGTGGCTTGAACGTAGCACATTAGCCACTGGTGGGGGGTGGGGCAGCTAGGCTCTAAGCACTCTCCACACAGGCTCCTGTGGGAGGCAGGAGTGGAGGGGAGTGAGCTGGCAGAAGCAAGCCACGGGTATGGGTGTACCGGGTGGGTGGTGTCGAGAACAGGCAATGTGCAAGCCACAGGATATTTGGGTTCTGAATCTTTGAGTGTCAGCTGCAAAGGAGCCCGGTAGACACAGGCTCTAGCTGTGTTTGCCTAAGATGTCCTAAGCTGATAATTTTGTTAAATATGCCTTTAACAGCTGGGCGGTGGTGGTCTTTAATACCATCACTCGGGAGGTAGAGGCAGAGGCAGTTGGATCTCTGTGAGTTCAAGGCCAGTCTGGTCTACAGAGTGAGTTCCAGGACAAGCAGGGCTACACAGAGAAACCCTGTCTAGATAAACAAAACAAAAGCCAAACCAACAAACAAAAACATGCCTTTTGTTGTGATTGATGAAAACTGTACAGTTTTATTGTTGGATCATAAGGGCTACTATTTCAGGAGGCCCCTAGGAATGACTTGCTCTCTTCTCTGATCCAATGCTGTGTTTTGGGTCTAGCTCAGAGGAGTAAAAATAAGGATTTCTGAAACACGAGGGCTGATAGAAAAAAAAAAAAAAAGCATATGAATAAAATTCACTAATGTGTTTAGAAGTCACTTTTTTTTTTCCTTTTCAATTCAACCTCACCAAGACACTCCAGGTTCACTTTAGTTTTTGAGTCATTCTTTTACCACTCAGCAGTAACTATATAGACTTGTCAGCTTGCTGACACCATACAGAGATTCTCCATGGAGAAAACCATTTAGCACTCCCAGCCACCAGCACAATCCTGTGATGACTGAAGAGGCAACAAGGCAAAGCAACTTGTCCAAGGTCACACAGCTGTCAAAGGAAACCAGGAATCAAAGATGAGCAGACTGGCTCTGCAATTCATGGTCTCAAATCAGTGCCCTGAACAATTCCTGGGATTAAAGACCACCACCACCCAGCTGGGCTGCACTGTACATTTAACAGAACTTGAAGGAGATGTGGAATACATCTTTCTGTAATGCCTGGCAGGATGCTCACATTAAGGGCCAGTTTTTGGTTTGTGTTTATCCCCCTTCCTCATTTAGTATTAACATTTGGAAACTAGTTCTAAAGGTTTTGGATTTCTGTGGCCAATTCTTTCTTGGGACCTGAACATCTTCAGATAACATAAATAGCCTGTAGTTTCAGTTACATCCCAAGAGACCCATTTCTCTCAAGGATATTTGGTTTTCTAATATCTAATAATAACTCCACTTTATTTCTAAATATTTAAGGTAGCACCATAAAGAAGTTTATTTTCTAGTTTTGGAAGCTTTTTCATGAACAAAATTCTTGGGTACTTGAATATTCAATCCAAATTGGCATTTGATTTTATTTATAGTGGAAGAGATGGTTGATTTAAGGACTTTTATTCTTGCCCTCTTCTGAGGGATTCTAGCTGAGACCACAGAAAGTCTGAATTTCTTTACACAATGAAGTCTCTGTGGGACAGTTGCCATGGAATTGGCCCTGTGAAATGCTCAACTACATTACTCTTAAATGCCCCCCAAAAGTTATTTTATCACTGTGATTTTTTTTCCTTCTTAGCTTTTAGAATTCTGGAACTATATGTTGAATGCATCTAGTTAGTGTCTATTATTTCCTCTTTTCATCAGTCAGTGAAGAAGAGATTTTACGGTATGGAAGTCTGAGATCTGCTTGAGCTTAATCTTTCCTTTTATTTATATTTAAAAAATATCTCAGTGCTCTTATTTTCAGATTACCCCAAATGTTCTCTTTGATGATATTAAAGAAGTATTATTTTGTTATGTATGCATTATTATTGTCATTATTATTATTATTATTGTGCATATATGTATGGGGTGTGTGTGTGTGTGTGTGTGTGTGTGTGTGTGTGTGTGTGTGTGTGTACACATGCATACATGCAGGTTTGTGTATGCCACACATATTTGGGAGTCAATTCTTTCCTCCCACCTTAGTGAGACAAGGTCTTTCTTCTTGTTGCTGTGTACTGCAGGATAGCTGGCCCGTGACCTTCTGGGCAGTTCCCTCCCTGCTCCTGTCATGCTTTTGGGAATTCTGGTATTTCACATTGAAGCCATCATAACCATTTTTTTTTTTTTTTGGTGGTGGTGTTTGTTATTTACGTAGGTTTCAGGGATCAGATTCAAGTCATCAGGCCTGTATGGTAAGCCCTTTTACTCACTGAGCCATCTCACTGGCCCATATATTTATGGTAATCTCATAGATATTGAACAAAAGGGTAATTATTTTAAGGTTAAAAGCCCAGGCTAACTTCAAACTCCCTAGGTAGCTAAGGATGAACCTTGAACTTCCCATCCTCCTGCCTCCACCTCCCAAGAACTGGGCTTACAGGCATGTGCCACCATGTTTTCTTAGTTTATGGTGTGTGGGGGGCGTTGAACCCAGGACCTCATTCATCCTTGGCAAGCACTGTACTGGCTGGGCTGCAAGAGTAGCTTCATTGTTTTGGTTCCAAAGGAATTTTTCTTTCGTTGCATAGTAGAACTTGGTGCCCAGCAAAACATTTTCAAACTTAAGGGTACTGTATTCAGCATTTCTCCTCTTGGTAATGTGTTGTCTGTTTTTTTTTCCTTTTCATTTGAACAAATATAGATAGATGTGTCAAGTTTTTTGATAGTAGACTTTTAAAGCATAGCTGTTTGGAAATGAGAAACTTCTATAGTTCTAAGTAATGGTCTTCAAACTGTTGAGAATCTGGTAATTTCCAGTATTTAAAAACTATTCTAGAATTCAGAAATTGGCACCTTATAGTCTGAATGGAAAGAGGTTGTGCTAGAGACCTTCAGGGATTTCCCATAAAACTGAAATGAGCCTTGGGCTCCATCAATTTCAGTTTACAAAGGAGCATTTGAAGTGAGGGTTAAGTTTTCAAGGGCTGTCAAGCCAAGTACTTCAGACTTGGTGGCTTCAACAACAGAAATTCACTCCCTCGGAGTTCTGGAGACCGAAGTCCAGGATGTGGGTCCTGGAAGGCTCAGCTTCTGCGGCAGCCTGTCTCCCACATTGGTAGTCTTCTCCCTGTGTACTGACAG